GGAAAGAAAACAGGTTGTAAAGGCCTGATGGATTCATATGCATTGGTGTACGTAGCCACATATCCATAATTTATTGCTGAGTGGAAATAGGTTTCAGTATAACATACAGAACAAATATAAAATTACAATATAATTTTATATATATGCTGTTATGAAAGATACACTAAGCTTAGAATTGGAAAACTACGGCCCAGAGACCAATTCCTATTTTCTAAACAAAGTGCCATCAAAACACAATTACATCCACCCATTCACTTATCATCTAGGGGTACTTTGTGGCTGTAACAGCAAAGAGGAATAGTTTTAACAGAGACCATTGGCCTGCAAAGTCCAAAATGCTTACTTTTTGGCCCTTCATAAAAATGTCTGACTACTCTTGTACTAAACGAATTATGGGTAAGGCAATTTGTCTTTTCTGCTTTACACCTGTAGCATTTTGATTTTTAAAAATATTTTTATAACTTTAAACACATTTTAAATAACAAGTTTGTGGAATTAGGAGAACACTTTGTTTGGTAAGTGGGTTATTATGTGGAAATGATGATTTGTTTATTTTCCACTCTTCCTTTTGATAACTAAGCACTATAAAACTATTCAATTATAAGTCATTTTTTTGTTTTGGTACTGGGGATAGAACTCGGGTCCTTGGGCTTGCGAGGCAGGCGGCAGAACCACTGAGCTAAATCCCCGGCCCAATAAGCCATTATGTTTTGCCTACAGCAACAAGTAACTATCTTGATTAAAACCCTAAACTATTTCTCTAAATCAATGCTCCTCAACCTCAGCACTATTGACATTTTTCGCCAACTGTTTCTTTGTTTTAGTGAGCTGTCCTGTGCACTGTAAGATATTTAGCAGCATCCTTAGCTTCATGTAGATACCTGTAGCAATTCCTCCAAATTGTGACTGCTGAAAACATCTCCAAATCAGTCATGATGGTGGACATCTGTGATCCTAGCACTTTGGAGGCTGAGGCAGGAGGATCGTAGCAAGTTCAAGGCCAGCCTTGGCCACATAGTGAGTTCAAGGCTAGCCTAAATTACAGAGTGAAATCTTGTCTCAAAAAAAAAAAAAAAAAAGGCTGGGGAGAGGGCAAAATCACCCCCAAGTGAGGAGCATTGCTCTAAATTATGAGTTGGCCAACTTTTGCGGTAAACTATTTTAACTTCTGCAGCCAATATTGTGACTCATGTTGTAAGTACTGAACTCTGCTGTTGTAATGCATAGCCATAAACAATACATAAATAAATGGCTATGGAGGTGTATATTGAAATTTTTTATATATTGAAATTTTAATTTCATGGGATTTCATCCATCATGAAATATTTTTCTTCATTTTTTCTTTGTCTTTTTAACCCTACCCCAGGGCCTTGTGCATGCCTGACAAGTGTTCTATTGCTGAACTGTATCTCCAACCCCTTTTTTTCTCTGGTGGTGCTGACGCTTGAACCCAGGCCTTTAGCATGCTAGGCAAGGGAGTGCTCCACCACTGAGCTACATTTCCAGATTCTCCCCTCCCCTTTTTTTGAATGAACTTATGGCTAGACTAATTAAGCCTTACTTGCTACAGTAAAACTGAATGCAGCTTGTGTGTGTGTGTGTGCGTGTGTGTGTATGTGTTGGTAGGGATCAAACTCAGGTTCTTGTACATGGTAGGCAAGCACTCTACCACTAAGTTCTACCCTCAACCCTCTAATTTTATTTAACCATTTAGAAACAATAAAAATATTTTACTTTGTAGGTTGTACAAAAATAAGTAGCAGTCCCAATGTAGCTTATGGTCCATAATTTCCTGACCTCAGCTCTAAACTGCTATCAGCCCTACAGGCTGGTTCCAAAGTTCTCCACAATGACTTCCCCGTGCATTAAGTACCTCAGCCAGGTTTAGTCTGTGAATTTTGTTCATTCCATAATTTGGATGTGTGACTTCAAACAGTAGTTCTCTTATTCAGAACATAAAGTGATGGCCCTGTCCAAATAAAGCAGTAGAGGTAACTGAAAATTAAAGTGAATATATTTAAATTTACCTGTAAACCTATAACCACAATCAAGAAAATTAGCATATCCATGACTCTCCAAAGCTCCCTCATGGCACGGAAATCCCTGTCTCACAGTCAATTCATATTCCTGAACTGAGCCAATCACTGATACTCTCACTAAAGTACAGCTGGCATCTTCTATAGTTTCTATCTAGATTTCAGAATCAGCTTGTCAATTTATATCAAAATTGTCTGCTAGAATTCTGACGGGCTTTGTGACAAATGTATAGATGAATGTGAGGGAGAACTGAGAATTTAACAATATTGAGTCAACTGATCTATACACATTGTGTATATTTCCATTGACAGAGGTCTTATTTCAACAGTACTTTATTGTTTTCAGAATAGACAGTAGTATTGTGTTTCATATTTTTATGGTATTATAAATGGTATTATATTTTTAAATTGTCTTTGATTGTTGTTACCACACAGAAATAATGCTGATTTTTGTAGATTGAGCTTGTTTGTTTTGTTTTTGTCCTTTTTTTGGTACTGGGGATCAAACTCAGGACCTTGTGCTTGCAAGGCAGGCATGGTGCCACTGAGCTAAATCTCAGCCCTTTTTTGTAGATTGATCTTATATCTGAAGCCTTACTAAACTCTCTTATTAGTTATAGAAGCTTTTATCTTTTTGGCAGATTCTATAACGTTTTCTACATAAATGACTTAGACATTTGTGAATAAAGCCAGTTTTACCACTTCCTTTCCAATGTTTGAATTTTTTATAAAGTGTTGGCTTACAATTGCTAAGAATGAAAATTCTAGTCTTAAATTTTATACAAAGACTAAATATATTTGAGTGTTATTAAACATTCCTGTTCCATATTAAAAATATATTTCTGAAGATTATAAAATGGTGTTTATCTACAATCTGGATGGATTCCATTTCTTGGACTTCTCTTACTATATTGGATAGAAAATCCAGCAAAATGAACAGAAGTGGTGTGAACAAACATTGCAATGTTTGTGATCTTAAGGCAAAAACATATGTCACCACTAAATATTATGTTAGCTGTAAGTTTTTCATAAATGACAATTACCCATGGAATAAGTTCCATGTTACTCCTAGTGGAGTGGTTAGTTCAGGAGAGTTCTTATGGGGAATGGATGTTGGCCTCTGCACAGAGGCTATCTCAGGGAAAACTGACAGCAAGGGGACCTGAGCAGGAGGCCACAGAAAAAGGGTGGCCAGGCAAGGAAGAAGGAGCGCACTGAAGAAAACTGTCTCAGCTGCAGGTTTCCAACAGGTAGTGGAAACGACACCAGCACTCTCTGTGGCAGGATCCAGGAAAGCCTCACTGGGTGAATCTTGATTATACTCCTGCAGTCACCTGCAGAGGTTTTTTTCCTTTTCCATACTACCTTTACAGGGACTGCACCAGACTGGCAGGTCACAATGCTGCTTTTACACCAACAGTGCCTAATAGTTATTTCTCGGCTACACCATGTGCAGGATCCAGTCAAGTTATTCTTCTTGTGTCTTACTTCCTCAACACTGATGCTATTTCATAGTTACTTTTATATGATACAATCACACCCCCTGCCCAATAAAGAAAATTGTAAAAATAGTGAATAATAAAACAAGAGGGCTGGAAAATGGATTGTGGGTGATCTCGGTTACATAGCACCTCAGCAGACTGGTGGAAAGAGCTCTCCCAAGTTAATTGCCAAAAATCAGCATGGTGAGGCCTACTAAGGGGTCAGCCGACTACACCTGAGGGTCCAAGTCCAGCCTCCTTCTTTTTAAATTTAGATATGGTCTTGCTAAATTATTAAGTTACCCAGGTTGGGTTTGAACCTGTGATCCTCCTGCTTCAGCCTCCCGGAGCATTGGGATTATAGGCATGGTCCACCATGCCCAGCTTGGCCCACTGTCTTTACTGCAATGATTGTTTTATTGGAGCACAGCCACAGTAGTTTACCTATCACTTATGGCTGATACCATGGTACAAAGTAGTGCCAAATAACTATTCAGAGAATAGTCAGAGAATGGAACTAGTCAGAGAATGGATAGTTATAAAGCCTGAAGTATTTATATCTAGCCTTTCATAGAAAAGTTTGCTCAAGATGGGTCTAGAAATAAATATATGAAAAGTTCTTTGATTTTGACAGAAAAAGTTAAAATTATGATTTGGCAGTAACACTATAGTATAGCCTATATCAGTGATATTTCTCAAAGACTTCCTACTGAGGCATACAAGCAATTATAAACAAATATTGCCTTTTCAAAGGCAAAAACTTAGTCACTACTAACATTGAAATTCTGTTTCATTCTAGAAATTGGTGAAAAATAAGATGAAGTTTGCGTTTTTGTTTTGCTTTTTTCTGCTTATTTTTCAAACTGACTTTGGACAAAATGAAGAAATTCCTAAGAAACAAATGAAGAAGACATATCACAGAAGACTGAAGAAAAATTCCTCACTTAACCATAGGTCAAACAGACAGCATGGAATTCAGCAAACAACTGCTACACCAATGGCGAGATTTCCCATCGTTAACTTTGATTACAGCTTGGAGGAAAAGTTTGAATCCTTTCTAAGTCTTCCTGAAGTAGAATCAAGCTACAATGTGTTACCAGGTAAAAGAATGGTAGGAGAGAAGAGAGAGGGTTGGGGAAGCAGACAGAGAATGAGGGCCTCCACATTATTATATTACCTTTTGTTTTAATCTACAAATTAAAAAATATCATTTCAGGAATATATTGATACAAAATGATTAGAAAAATAAAAAATACTTATCCTACCACTGTATTTATAAAATCATAGTTATCATTTTTGTTTCTTTCTAGTATGTTTATTATCTATATAGTTGTAATCATAATACATGTTATATACATATTAATTTACAAAGTGCTTCTTCATTTATGACAGATCATTTAGAATAGAAATTACTCAGATGACTTTAAGAACACATGGCTATTAAATATTTTCAAACAGAGTTTTTTCAAACATGAACGGAGTGAAAGCCACTGAATTTATTTGATGTAAACTACACTATGGATTTTTAAAACTTGAAGAGTTAAATGAATATACGAATAAATATTCATATTTATTTAGGGGGTTTTATTTAGAGGGTTTATTTATTTTTGTTTTGGGTACCGAGTTTGAACTCAAGGCCTTGCATGTCCTATGCAAGCACTCCAACACTAAACTACATCCTCAGCCTTTTAAAACTTTTTAAAAAATTTGAGACAGGGTCTTATTAAAGTAGCTGAGGCTAGACTTGAACCTGTGATTCTTCTGTTTCAGTCTCCGGAGTAGCTGGGATTACAGGTGTGTGCCACTATGTCCAATTAAAAACTAGTATTCAATGATCCATTTTTTTCCAAGTTTAGAAGAAAAAGTATTTTAGGTATGTTACCATTAAATAAAACATTGAAAAGACAAAAAATATTATCATATATTTTTCTAGGCCTCATTGTCTCAATAAAGCCAAATGCTTCTAAACTATTATTTCCACAAAGTTAACAGTAATAACACACAATTACTGTGAAAGTAGGCAATTCAAACTATACAAAATATGAGTAGGGAAAAAAGAGTTAGAGAAATCAATTACAATGATTATTACAGTACAGTATAATAACAGTATATCCATAACTCCTAAAGATAAATGTTAAAATCAATTTTCTTATTCAAGTCAAAAGATATGCAAGGCATAATAATAGCAGATTAAAAGGCTAAAAGTAGTACACATGGTATGATCTCATGTCTATTTTAATCACTTAGCAGTCCAATTATTTAAATACAAGATGACCAAAACTTGCACATTTTTTGTTAATTTTTTTTTTTTTTTGGTACCGGGGATCGAACTTGGGTCCTTGTGCTTGCAAAACAGGCAGTGGAACCATTGAGCTAAATCCCCAGCCATTTTGTTAATTTTTATGATATCACAGGAAATAAAAAAGTGACAATTTTATAAAATTTATTCAATAATTTTTCTGTGTGTCATATATCTTAAAACATTCAACACAAAATGCAGCATTATAATCTGGACAGTAGGATCTAGTATCTTTCCAAATACTTTTTGTATTATTGTCTTTTTTTGAACAACAGATTTTATGCTGTTGTGTTGGACTTTCCTTTTTTTTGTTTTGTGGTATATCTTCAATAAAATATCTAATGGTGAAGAAGATGATGGATGTCCTGCTTGGTGTTTTGCTATCTTGTATTTTTCAATTATTTGGTGAATTTCTTTTAGTTTTGTTTCTTCTTTCAGGTTCTATCATTTCTGTATTATGAATAGTTGACAATAAGGAGATGTCTTTTTTGTCTTTCCATTTCATAACAGACTTTTCTTCTCTGATACGCTAAAATTTCTTCCTTTTTCCAGTTTTTTCTTTTGCAGATTTTTTTGCATTTCCTTCCTATTCAGTCTCAGTGTCCCAAATGTATCCATTTTATATTGTAAAACAATACCATTGAGTTCTGGATAAGTATAAAAATTATATCTAATGTAATTACAGTAAGTTTTTATAGATTGTAGCACAAAATTAGTTTATTTTCCACAAATAAATGTGAATTAGTAAAATAAAGAAAGAATATAAATAGTAAAATAAAAAAGGAAATAACCAGGACTTATTATTAGATTTCACTAGAAACAAACAACAAAGCCAAATACAATGTTCTAAATTAAAAGGTATGCAAACAATAGTTGACATAAAACAAATAAACATATGAGTCTATATTGTGCAAACAAGAACCAAACTGGTTGAAATGACACCTGCCCGAACAATGCTTGGGATAAACTGTTAAGCACTTAAAATTCCTATTTTTATTCAATTTTTTGTTTGATATAAATTCTTGCTATGTTGATCAGGCTAACTTCCAACTCTTGGGCTCCAGTAATCCTCCTGCCTTAGCCTCCCAAATAGCTGGGACTACAGGCGCATGCTACTGTGCTGGTTTAAAAAAAAAAAACGTAATACAGGTGATTGTCCATTTAAAAAAGTGTAGCAGATGTATACTAAACATTTTTAAATGGTTCAAATTTTTTCCAGTGTTCTTAAAGTACTTCTTTTTATTGTATTACCACATATAACATAAAATTTAACATTTCAAATATACAATTCAGTGGCAGTTAATACATTCACAATTATGCAATGACCACCACTAAGTAGTTCCTGAACATTTTCATCACCTCAAAGGGAAATCCTGTACAAAACTCATTTTTCTCTATCTCCAACCTTAACAGACCTTAATCTGTTCTTTGTCTCTATAAACTTGCCTGTTCTGGAAAATTTCATGTAAATGGAATCACATAAAATGTAGCTTTGTGCTCTGGCTTCATTCATGAGCATGTGTCCAACATTTATCCATGGTTAGCCTGCATCACCCTTCTTTCCTTTTTAGGTGGAGTAACATTCCCTTGTATATACAGATCACATTTTGTTTATCTATTCGTCACTTTATGATAGGCATTTAGTTTGTTTCCACCTTTTAGGTATTGTATGTAATCCAACCATGAATATTTGTGTACAAATTTTATTTGAACATGTTTTCAATTCTTTTATGTATAAACCTAGGAGTACAACTTCTAGGACATATTGTAATCCTATAATTTTTTTCTCTTTGATTATGTGTATGAAATGATATTTCATTGTGCTTTTGATTTCCATGTCCCTAGTGACTAATGATGTTGCGCATCTTTTCATGACTTGTGGGTCTTCTTTGGAAAAATGTCTATTCAAGTCCTTTGTCCATTTTTGTTTCGTATTGCTTGTAGCATCTTGCTTGTAGCCAGGATGGCCTCAAACTTGCAATCCTCCTGCCTCAGCTGCCCAAGTGCTAGGATTCTAGGCATGCCTGGACTGCCCATTTTATAATTGGATTGTCCTTTTGTTGCTGAGCTGTGAGAGTTCTTATGTATGTCTTAGATATTAGACACTAATCAGATATATGATTTGCAAAATTTTTTCTCATTGTGTATGTTGCCTTTTCACTCTCTTGACAACAGCCTTCGATGCACTATACTTTAAATTTTAATGAAGTCTAATTCATCTTTTTCTCTTATTGCTTGTGCTTTAGGTGTCATATTTAAGAATCCATTGTCAATTACAAGATCATGGAGATTTACTCATATGTCTTCTAAGAGTTTTTCAGTCTTAAGCTTTTACATTTAGGGATTTGAACCATTTTGAGTTAATTTCTATATTTGATATAGTAAGGTAGGAGTTCAACTTCATTCTTTTGCATGCGGGTATCCAGTTGTCTCAACATTTGTTGAAGAGTCTTTTCTTTCTTGACTGAATGGTCTTGCCACACTTCTTGAAAATATGTCTCAACTTACTTTATTCATGCTGGCATAAGCTGATTAGAATGGCTTTGTGGCAAACCTTTTGTAGTGTTTTGAAATCTGTAAGTGTGAGACCTCAAACTTTGTTCTTTTTTCTCAACATTGTTTTTTGCTACTTGGGATCCCTTATGATTTTATAAGAATTTGAGGGTCAGCATTTCCACTTCTGGAAAACCAACCAACCAACCAACCAATCAACCACTGCTGAAATTTTGATAGGGTATAGGTAGAGTGGGTAAGTACATGAGGTATGTCTAGTCCATGGCACATCTGGGTTGCCTGGCCCACACCGAGTGAATAGGAATTGTCTTGGGCTGCATATAATATAGTTAATATATAAGTAACAAAGCTTCCTTTAATTAAATGTTTTATTATAACACAGGTGTATCAAACCTACATGTGCACTATGTACTGCATCGTGCACTTTGTAGGTAACTGTTATGGTCTGTGAATTGTATTTTAATAACATAGTAATTCAAAAAAGCGCTGCAGTGTCTAAGAAATCCATGGAAGTCTGCTATCTATCTGACTTTTCCCCCTGTGTACAGCAATAAGAGTAGATGCTGTGCTGGTTTTCAGTGCTATTCTAGCTCTCTGAGGGTGTGAGGAAACTACACTGCTTTTGTTAGGTGTAGCCAGACAGTCTGTTTTGGGTTATATAGTTAGACACTTTTAGAACTCAAGTTGCAATCTGCAACCTCCCATTCTCACCACTGTGGCAATTAGTGCAGGTGCTTAAGGAAGCCTCTTGTCCATTACCAAGTGACTAAAATGAGCCAAGGCCCTGTGTGCCCACACTGGACACTCAGTTGAATGAGAGAACTAAAATTTGGGGGTGGCTTGTTTTATTGTGTGACTCAGCCTATCCTGACAGACAGATGCAAGATGAATATGCAGTCCGAAGTCCAGATATCATCAGGAGGTCACTGTCAAGAGCTTAGCGAGAGGAGCTGAAAAGAGAGTCAGTGGAAAGCATTTCCAGGGGCTATGTTTGTAGGATATTTTTACTCTGTGTATAAACACACAGGATTCTATTCTTGCGCAGTTATATCAGTCTGACTTTATATAGCATTTAATTCTATTCAGAGATGCGGGCAACTGAATAAGTAATTTAAATGTCTATTATTGTGTTCTTCTAGGAAAGAAGGGACAATGCTTGGTGAAGGGCATGACCATGTACAACAAAGCGGTATGGTCTCCTGACCCCTGTACCACCTGCCTCTGCTCAGATGGAAGAGTGCTTTGTGATGAAACCATGTGTCAACCCCAGACATGTACCTACACGGTTACACCTGAAGGAGAATGCTGCCCAGTCTGCACTGATACTGGTACAGACATGTAGCCAAAACAAAACACCATGTGTGATTTAGTCAATTCCTTTGTTTCTGTTTTGTCGCTACTTTAAGGTATAAACTATAATAGCCTAATTATCAAGCACAATGCTGATAAACAGAAATACTCGGGGCAGTATATGGTAGAGTATAGAAATAATAGATTGTGGCCTTAAAGTTCTAGCTCTATCAGAATGAGTAAATGTGGACCAGACCACATTCCACATGTGACCCTTAGCTTTGGAGATAGCAATAAGATTTCTACAACAGACCCTGAGTTATTATGAATTAAGGGCTATGTTTTGGTCTGTACATGCATTATTTCATTTAACCCAAATCACCTTGGGTCCAGTTATCTGATGTCATAAGAACAAAGGAGGAGTGATTTATAACTGGATAGAATGCAGCTTCAACCTTCCTGGCTACTCCCAAGCATTCAAAGGTACCAGAGCAATCCACAGCATGGCCTCAGTAACTCTGGGGACGTACAGAAGTATGGCGAGAGCACTGTGTTCTAGTGTGGCCCTCCTGTGTTCAAGTCACAGTATGAACTTTGTTGGATGCTCCCTGACCTCTTCTTCCTTGAGGCTTGTACCTAGCCAAGTTGGGGGGGGGGGGCTTGAGAGGGAAGCCCAGGCCTCATATATGAAGAGGCCAAATATAAAAAGAGCTTAAAAAAAAAAAAAAGCTTAGCCAGTTACTTATGAAAACAAGTAAACACTTGTTAAATAATTTGACAGGCAGGGATAGGGACAATTTCTTTTGTCTATAACCAAGGTAGATTGCTCTCACACATAGATGATCACGGGGTAGTTATTTAGCAAAGTCTCCTGCCAAGAAGAACTTTAGAATCTTTAAGAATTGTGTTTTGCTTCATACTATCAATTATTTCACTGAAACATGCTTTTTGAAAAATGTTAGAAAAGTGTTCAATGAAATTGATCACTTAGAGTGAAATACAAGATTTATAAGACAAGATCCAGAAATTCTTAGACATTTTTCAAGACACTTACATATTCTTGAAATGTTGTAATTATCTTGGAAAAATAAACTTGGAATATACGGGAAGGATTTTAAATGTTTCAATATGATAGCTTTAGTTTCCTTTGACCAATTTTTTCCTATTCTCTTTTCTGCATGTTTTGTGAAAGATGTGAAAAAACCCCAGACTTTATAATATATACTGAACTGACATCACAAGTAATTTCTTCAAATAATTATATTTCCTGAGAGCAGTTTATACATAACATTAAATGAAAATAGAAAGGTGATTAAATGAATTTATAAATTTTGATGGAGGAAAACTTGTGCACTGTAAGCTCAGTTTTCCTTAGAACTCTTCACTCAGAGGGTGAGGCTGAATTAATTAATATTTTAGGGGTTTTTTGAGACAGGGTCTTGCTATGTAATTCAGGCTGGCCTTGAACTCACTATGTGGCCCAGGCTGGCCTCAAACTTGCAGTGATCCTCTGCATCAGTCTCCCAAGTCCTGGGATTACAGGCATGTTCCACCATGCCCAGTTTACAGCCATCTGCTTCTAAGCATATGGTATTGGCCCATCTACCACTTATCTCCTTCTGATTCTCTTGCCTCAGCCTCCCAAGTGCTGGGATTACAGGCAGGTGCCACCACAACCAGGTGAGACTGAATTTAGACTTATATCGTCTTCCCTATGTTCTGCCACAGATATAAAGCTATATGTAAATATAGATTGGCTTTCTATAATTATCTGTTCTGTTCCCAGCATCATGGAATGATGAACAGCACTCCAGTGCATGTGTCTACAGAAAAGCAACAGCACTTAGGTCCGGCATACTATGCATAAAGCTCAGGTAGCAAAACCGATTTAAGAAGGGAATTCATCAGAGAAAAAGAGAACTTTATAATTCTATGTTAGGAGCCATTCTACATAATTTTGGGGAAAAATCATTTCACAATTAAATTATGATTAGGCCTAGTCTTCTTGCCTACAGGCTGGCTATGTCATGCTGAAATATAAATCCATGTTTGCCTCCGGTCACAGCTAAGACCTCAATGGTCCTGTGATGCTGTGACACTCAAGGGCAACATTACAGCAGCTGAAGACATCCTGGTTCTTTGAGAACCAAGTAGTAAGAGAAAGGTTTCACCCGGGGAGGGATAAATTCCTTATCAGCTTAATTCATCCCACCTACTGTAAGAACATCTTTATTCATATTACTGTCCTAATCAACATAAGATCCTCATCAGCATAAGAGCCTCACGTCATAGGATTACTGCCACCCTCCGAGATATCTGATGCTTCCTTCAATTATAAGATCCTTGTCAATTTAGGATTATCACCACCCTCTGAGTCATCTGTTATTCCCTATGAATGCAATAAATAGTGGCAAGCTCGGGTGCCTTCGTCTTTAATGCCTAGAGCAGCACTGATCAGGGCCAGAATCCAGCTTCTTCTCTAAGTCTTGTTTTCTGTCTTAATTCTTTACTTCACCTGTGCTGTCCTGGCTTACAGGAGACCAGAACCCACTGAAGGGGTACAGGTAATGTCCCCTTTCCCTGTTCCCTACAATTCTGACTTCAGAGTATGTCATCAGGCCCCTGGAGCTGAGAAAAATGAATAAAAATAATAAATCTATAAACAAAAGCAGTTTCATTACCATACTGTACACCTGTTTTAACTTTTCATACCTAAAGACAGTCTCTAAATTCTTATATAAAAAATAAGCCAAGTCGGGTGCAGTGGCACATATCTGTAATTCCAGTGGTTGGGAAGCTGAGGCAGGAAGATTGTCACGAGTTCGAGGGCAGCCTGCATTACATAGTGAGTTCTGGGCCAGCCTAAACTACACAGTGAGACCATGTCTCAAAAAACCAAAACCAAACCAAAACCAAAACAAAACAAAAAGACCCAAATAAATGGAACAGTATCTATTATAAAGGTATCACATCTGATGATATCACAAGCTCATGATAAGACTGTTTTTCATTTTGCATCATGTAGCAATGTTATTCCCTCCTTAGTCCCAAGGCAGCATTATATTCTAGCAAAAATACATGTTATTTAGTGCAAAAACTAGCAATAGGGCAGAGAGGCATGAAAAATTATCTATAACAGATCTTATAAAACAGAAATAGTTATGAATAAAACTTTTCAAGAAAAAAATTGAAGATGCATTTCATCTTTAAATGGCACTCAAACACCTGGAGGGAATAATATTCACTAACCTTGTTTCATTATGATTTTTCCTCTTATTAACACCACCAACTTGCCCCTGCTACCTCCTTCCCTGCATGGTCATTAATCTCTTATTCCCTAGTCAATGATAGCATGTTAAATGGTAGAACTGAATTTTCTGGTGATTCTTCAGAACAAAGAGAACCTACCAATGTACATCTTAAGCAACTGCCACCTCTTCAGGTGGAAATGGACCAAGTATTTGGAAAAGAGGCACTTCAATCTGAGGAGGATGAAGAAGAATCTAAAGAAGATATAAAGTACAAGAAAGAGACCGCTGGACATAGAGATCAGGGCAAACCTCACAGTGAGGGAGAGCGCAGAAGAGAGAGAAAGCAAAGACCTGGCAAGATCGGGAGGCTGGCACATCAACAGCCACGCTGTGGAAGAGGAAAGGAGGAGGAGGATGAAGAGGAGGAAGGGGAAGAAGAAGAGACTGTAAGAGGAGATGTGTTCCGAATGCCCTGCCAGCTCCCCATCCCTGCTCCCCCCAGAGGCAGGCCTCGCTTGCCCAGTGGCTGCTCCTTGTCCTATAGGACCATCAGCTGCATCCATGCTGCCCTCACCCAGATCCCACCACTGATGGCCCCAGAGATAACGAGTCTGAAGCTCGTGGGTGAGAAATGTTGACTTCTGTTTTATTTTGTGCTTTAGATATAAACGTGACTCTCACTGCTCTATGAATGCTATGTTTCAATTTCACAATACAGACTAATTTAATCGTCTTCATATATATGAACTCTATAGAAGAGAGAAGCTTACTGCAAATGGCTGTTAGGTGTAAAGCAACCTCCAAACTAGATGTTTCCCCATGTACCTTTTAAAAAGTCAGCTTTAATGGGCTATAATTTGTATACAGTAAAACAGATTTTTAGTGTATAGTTCTGAGTTTTGATAAATACATACAGCTGTACACACACTATCATCTTCAAGATATAGAACATTTTAATCACTCCCCAAAGTTCTTCATTCCCTACCTTCCCTAGCCCTTGGCCATGACAGAAAAGTTTTCTATTCCTATGCTTTTGTCTTTTTGAGAATGTCACATAAATGGAGTCACACAATATGGAGCTTTTCTGGGTGGGTGTCTATTGCTTTTGAGAGTCCTATGTTTGTTTTGGATATGTCAGTTCATTTTTATCGCTAGGTAGTGTCCTGTTGTATGAAAGGCCAGTTACGAGTGAGAAGATATCTGGCTTGTTTTCCACTGGGAGGCGAATGTGTACAAAGTTGCTATAAACATCCTCATACAAATGTCTGTGTGGACCTATGACCTCATTTCTCCAGGATTATGCCCAGGGGTGGAACTGCAGAGTGAGATGGGAAATTACATGTTTAACTTTGTAGTGACCACCCAACAGTTCTCCGAGGTGGCTCACCATTGCCCTTGGCAGTGTTGGGGAGTTCCCATAGCTCTCGTCACCTGCTAGCACTTTATAGCTGTTTCCTCCTCTCTTCAGCCATTTCAGTAGGAATATGGTTTCCAGACCTTTTGTTTATGTCTCTGTAAGGCCACCTGGGAGGGTTCCGAGTGGAGGGACAGCAGGATAAGGTATGAGGGGCTGGCTAGTGGTAGTATAGCAGGGTGGGCTTGAGGACAGGGATTACATACTCCAGCAGGAATGGCCATCTGCAGTGGGATGCTGCTAGTGTCAAGTGTACTAGAAGCTTCCATGGCTTTCCTAACAGAGCCTTTCATCCCACTTTCATATCACCTAATGAATTTCTCTCATGCCCAGCAAGTTACTCACCCCTACCCTATAGCCTGCCAAGAATGCTCTACCTTAAGAAAACTAAATGTGTTTGGGAAGGATAAACAACCCATGTTGGGCTATAATGTCTTTGTTTTATAAGAAGGTTGCTACATTTTTTCCCTGGTATTGGGGATCAAACCCAAGGGTCTCAGGTGGAAGTCAAATTTATAATCCTCCTGCCTCAGCCTCTCTCAGTATGGGGATTACAGGTGTGCATCACCATGCCTGGAGTGTGTGTGTCTTGGGGGTGGTACTAGGTCTTAGAATCCATGGCCTTCATGTAGAACTATATCCTTTGCCCTTTTGAGACAGGTTGTCACTAAGCTGTTAAATTGATCAGGGTGGGCTTGAATTTATGATCTTCCTGCCTTGGCCTCCTAGTGTTGAGATTACATACTCGGCACTCTATGGTTTTTATAGTATGTATTATTTCTAGAAAGGTTATTTTCCGTGTCTAAAATCATTTTTTAAAAATCATTTCATAGTGTACTTAAAGTATCAAAACACAAAAGGTCCCGAGTTCGATCCCTGCTACCAAAAAAAGTGTCAAAACAAAAACAAAATTTTTTTTTGGTTTTTTTGAAACAGGGTCTCATTGTGTAGTTCAGTCTTGAACTTGTGGTGATTCTCCTGCCTGATCTCCAGAGTGCTTGGATTACAGATGTGCACCACGATGCCTGGAGAAACAAAAATTCTTAAAATTGAAACACAGAGAACTTTGTAGATTTGTTATACCTCTCTGAGAAAAGAGAGATATAATGTTAGACCTGGGGGGTAGTGTCTGAGAGATGATCTTCCCAAGTTTCTTACACAGAGAAGGAAGCATGCTCAGAGGAAGGGAGTGATTTGCCAGTAATTTCTTGGATAAAGAACATCACGCTCCCATTCCAGGGAAATAGCAATGGAAAAATATGAAGAACAAAATCAGTTTCTGTATAATCTTGCAGAAAAACTTTTTTTGCTGATGTATAATGTTTCTAGTACTGTCCAGCAGACTGCATTCTGGCTGTTTAAGCAGCTTCATCTGAAACATGAGGTACAGATGAATCCTTAGAAAATTTTGACTATGATGGTCTAGTCCCAAGGTTATTTTTCAAACAAGCATTTCTTTATATATTTCCCGTCCTTGTTCTAAGTATTGTTTTATCCTTCAGACCAAGCTCTCTCTTGATATGCATGTGCACACCTATACACATGTATACAAGTATGTATATGTGCATATGTCTAACACAACTGCTGCGTATCCTAGGGAATTCTATCACTTCCATCCCGGATGAAGCATTTAATGGACTACCGAATCTGGAAAGGCTTGATCTGAGCAAAAATAATATCACTTCTTCAGCCATAGGTCCAAAAGCATTTAAGGTAACCACATACTCGAATTTGTACATAACAATCCATGTGAATGGCTTCACTATGACTTCCACTAGCTGTAGTCTGAAGTGGGGAAGGAAAAGCAAAAAGGTTTTAACTGACTTTTCTTCTGCGTTATGGAAGTTCCTTCTCTGATGTCCCTAAACTATGTTCAAGTTTCTCTTAAACATAATTTGTTTTACATGTTTTTAGTCTCACCTTACATGTACCAACCTAAATGGATCTGTGACATAATTAATGCTTTCAATTTATAGATTGCTTTTGTCCCAGGTAGCTGAAAACATTGAAATCTAACATCTTAGCATATGAAGCTTTATCTAGGAATAAAGTAGGGCTTATATGAAATCCCTATGAGCATTTTCAGGCCAGCAGGACATTGCTGTCTTATTTTTGGACAATGGCCAAAATCTAGTGGAAGATACTTTGGCAACAGGTTCTGGAAAAACAAACAGGTTACGATGAAAATCGGTATTCGGTGGGATGGGGAGGAGGGAAATAGAATGGATAGGAAATAATATAGAGTAGACTTTTGAAGGAAATAGATCTAACTAAAATTCTTTCTTAAAAAAGGAAAAGACAAGATCAAGGAATTTCACGGCAACAAAAATAGAAGATAGAGAAAGTTAAAGGCTTGTGTGTGTAAATGAAAATTCATGCCAGGGATTTAGCTCAGTGGTTCTGACGCCTGCCTTGCAAGCACAAGGTCCAGAGTTCGATCCCTGGTACCAAAAAAAAAAAAAAAAAAAAAAATTCATAAATGTGTGTGCCTTAAGAGCCATAAGTAAAACACTATATCTCATTAGCTTAAACTTTGTTCCTTTGGATGGCTTTCTGGGTCTTCTGACAAATCTCACACATATCACTGTCCTCTTGCATTCTCAGCTCCTGGTTCTCCCCTGGAGTCTGAGCAGACAGATAATATGGCTCCCCGTACCTGCTTCATGCTGTCCCTCTTTCTGACTGAGCAACAGCTGGCAATAGAAGTCATACATATCCTGTATTTGGTCACAAGAAAAACACTGTAGCAGATTACCTCCTTTTCTGGCTTGGGGATTCTCTTGTTCTATTGTAAATCTGAAACTAGAATACGATCACTGGAGACGTGTATCATTCCATGTGGCTTCACTAAAGCCTGCTCAATTTGAGTTCTCCATTTTTGTTGCTGCAAGCCAGGTTTGCCCAACAAACATGCAACTATAAATGGGGAAATACACTTTTGCAGGTAGTCAGTTGTTTGAGTACCACATATGAATAGCTTGTGATATTTACAGCACGTTTTGAAAATTAACAGTAATTTGTGTTACATTATGACCCTTTTACTCATATGTGTACATATGAAATAGTTTAAAAAATATAAATTAAAAACCATCATCTTAACTCTAAGCACTTATGACAGATTCAGATTAATGCATGATTTAATGAAATTTCTATCTATTGCTATGAAGGTGAAAACCTCAGACCTAGGAAAATATGACTGATCCATTATTTATAGTAGCTTTCCTTTTTTCTTGTTTTTTTCTTTTCTCAGTTTGTGTTTTCTTCTCTAACTTTCTAAAGCTGCAATATAAATATGGATGAGTGGAATATAAAAAGTCCTCAAACATAGTTTGCTGCAAATGCATGAGAATAAAAGCTATTATCGAGATAATATTTACTTGGTAGGGAGAGTAATGCTATGTGGCCTGGACATTACTAAACCAAGAGACATGGAAGTTTGTGAAACTTTTAGTGCTACCTCAGAGTGCCCATTGTGTGGCTGTATATGTGAAGAAATAAAAATGGTAATTTTTTAAAAAGTTAAATTTATTGGTATATTTTAGGTTTACAATATAATGACATTCATCATTGGAAATTGGCACCTTAACATAATCTCTCTTGGTCCTTATTTTTCCCTCTTCCCTGCCTTCCCTATTTACAAATACTTTGTTTCCATTTTTTCATTTTCTCATATTAATTCCATTCCTTTCTTTCCTTTCCCCTACCCCGCCCACTTCCCCTTCCCCTTTGACCCTTTTCTTCCTATTTCACATTATCTATTATACCTTTTAGTCCTTATTTACACTTTCAGTTTCTCACAATAGAGAAACTATTCAGTATTTA